ATTATAAAAGTTCCACTACAGACAAAACCTTCTAATGAACACTAATATTAATTCTGGGATTAGAGCATTTACTTATATTGGCACTGTTTATTAATATCTTTTATTTTCACACTTACAGCAAGTGAAAACCTCTTACCCACTTTTAGCAAGCCAAAACAAATACCCAAAAGCTGAGAAGTCAAAATATGTGTAACAAAACTACAAACTAAGCAATGAAGTAAATGCTTTAAAAAATTCAAGATGCTTCAGATTCTTTTTATGTGCAGGGCAGGGTGGCAGTACTTGCTAGGCAGGCACTCCACTACTTGAGCCACTCCACCAACCCTCTCAACCATTTGCTTGGGCTGGCCTCAAACCACAATCCTCTTGATCTCTGCCTCACAAATAGCCAGGATTACAGGTGTGAGCCACCAGCACCTAGCTCTGTCAAGATTCTTGAAAAATTTTAACACATACCTTAAATAATTTTTGGATAATGAAACTTTACTATCATAAATGTACTGATGCTTTTTTAATTTATAAAATATCCTTGTGTTACGAGTTAACAACTTAATACCTCCTGCATGACATTAAACAAATTCTTTAACCATAGATATACATGTTTGTGTGTGTGTGTGTGTGTGTGTGTGTGTGTGTGTGTGTATATATGTGTGTGTGTGTATATAATATATATGTAATTTCCTGTTCAGGCTAGGACATAATGGGAAACACACTCATTTGTAAATTCTGTTTTAACACATATTCATACACACATATAAATGTTTGCTTTTTATATCTAAAGCCAAGTATTAGGGCTAGCTATGGCTCAAGTGGCAGACCACCTGACTAGCAAGTACAAGGCCCTAAGTTCAAACCTCACTACTCCCCACCTCCCAAAAACAACTGTGCTTTGTAAAGCTAAGTATTGACCAAGTATGGTGGGGCATACCTGCAATCCCAGCACTCTGTAGGTTAAGGCAAGAGGATCATGAGTTTGAGGCCAGCCTGGGCTACACAGTGAGACTATTGTCTGAAAAAAACAAAAATAAATAAATAATTTGATAAAGAAAGCCCTTTTTAGTCCATTTTGCTCTGGCTATTTTGGGGATGGGGTCTTGGAACTATTTGTCCAGGCTGTCCCTGAACCATGATCCTCCCTATCTCAGCCTCCCAAGTGCACAGGATTATAGGTGTGAGCCACTGGCACCTGGCTTTGGCAAGCATTCTTGCAACAGCTATGCAAATTCTCTGAAGGTATGCAAAACTCAGCGTACATACGCTCATGTCTCTTTTCTCAAACAAGGGTCCACAGTTTTTCATCAGATTCTCAAAGGTGTCCATGACCCCAGAAATCTAAAAGCCCACTTTATAGCAACCTTTATTTTCTCTATTCCCCAGATTTATAATATTTATAAGATTTTCTTGGAAACTCTAGGCACAAGTTAAATTCTAATTTACTCAACAACAAAACAAAGAAGCCGAGTAACTAAAGCACAATCATGAGGGCTGGGGTGTGGCTCAAGTGGTAGAGCACCTGCCTAGCAAGCACAAAGCCCTGAGTTCAAAGCCCAGTGCTGCCAGCAAACAAACAAAAAAAGGATGGTCACGGTCTGGATGTGGTGGTACATTCCTGCAATCCCAGGTTCTCGGGAGATGAAGATCAGTTAGAGGCCAACTTGAGCAAAAAGTAAAGGACCCCCCCCCCATCTCAACAAATAAGCTAGGATGGTGGTGCATACCTATAACCCTAGCTAGGTAGGAGGTCAGTCTGAGGCTGACCCAGGCAAAAAACACAAGACCGTATCGGAAAAATAGCTAAAACAAAAAAGGGCTGGGGCGTGGCTCAAGTGGTAGAGCACCTGCCTAGCAAGCACGAGGCCCTGAGCTCAAACCTCAGTGCCACCAAAACAAATAAAAACATGGTCATGGTAAAATACATGCTTTCCTTTACTCTGACTTTAAAAACAGAATCACTGTAAACTCCTTGAGCTCAAATTATCCTCCAACTTTGCCATAAATAAAACCAAATACCCAAACTCAAAGACAGTTTTTAAAAATCTAACCAAAAACCCAATAGCAACACCTCCCTCTCCCCAAATATGAGGGAAACCTGAAATAGCCCTACTGCTTCTGCAATGCAGTAACAATCACTCCTTCTTTGGAGTTAATTGGCCATTATTCATTCCCTCATTCTGACTCAAACTTAACAACCTTCACCTCAAGCAGCTACTCCACTGCTTACGTTTGTGCAGTAAAGGGATCGCGTGGGATGGTGGAAGGAAACCCACACTGGGAGCAGGAGAAGCAGGTCAGTCCTATTGGGTCAACTGCCTTAGTCTACATGGAAGCTCAGAATCCCAAAGACACTTGCTACGCCAATGCTGACCCTCATAACCAAACCAGAAGCTTACAAAGGGAGGTCACCTGGCAACAGTTTTCTAGGTTTAATGAGAAAACTAACCAACAACAACATTTGAGTACAGAAAGTTCTGTCCCCACTGCTAGCACTCCGAAGGCTTATATACTCAGGACCGTGCCAATGTCAATGGTGGCCATTAAAACTTGAGCTTAGCATTAGAAAGAAAACTAGACATCTCTACCTCACTGCTCCTTTTCTTAAATTGAACATCATGGCACAAAAAAATACTTAACAAAGAACTGACACGCAAAAAATACACCAAACAGAGGAAACAGTTGTTTGATATGTAAAATCTTATTTTATAGTTCACTGAAAAATACTTGCTATAGAAAAGGGCAGCTTATTTTCATCAGTTTTTTTTTTCCCCCAAACTCCCTTTTCCAAAACAAGTACTGCAATGAACTACAAAATAAGACTTTATGTACCAGGATATCCTCATGCTGAAGAGGCATTCCTCCTGTCCAAGAAAAAAAAAAAAAAAAAAAAGCAACCTAAACAAATGTTAAGAATCTAACACATCTGCAAGTGAAACTCTTAGAATGTACTTCTGTAGGAGCTGGCAATGTACAGAAAAAGGCAATTTGTCATGGCAAGAAGTTTTCTGAAAGGCTGTGCCTAATATTTCAGAACTAGAATGTGACAGTTCTCAAAAGAAATATGAGAGGTGTTCGAATTCCTAATAGGCCTCTGTTCCCACTCTAAGTACTACCACAAACAACGGTCAAGCTGAGCTCACAGCGTAGTTTCTGAGGCCTAAATCATCTGTAGCAATTTCCCCATGAGGCCCATTGTGTGAATGGAAATCAGTAATTCATTTGAGAATGGTAGACATACTAGAGGACAATGAGGCCCATGCACTAAAGTTAACAAAAAGTAGAAACAAAAGAAAACAAGGTACATTTTTGTGGAAAACAATGCCCCAGAATCCTGCAACTAGTTTAAGTGTACAGAAAAGTACAGATGAGATGACATGCTGGTACTTAATGACATACACACAACACATTCTTCCACACCGAAAGATAACATTTAGAATATGATCTATACCCTTTTATATACAACTCCAACACCAACAGGGTTCTTCAAATGTTCTACCTCATAAACAAGACTTCTTAAGTAAAGTGTAATGAGACCAGCTGGAAAAGATCACCAGGAGGCATTACTACTCTGGCCAACATTTCGTATTTAACAATTGATGGCATGTCTTTGAAAGTTAAAACACAAAGACTTCAGTCTCTACATTCAAACACTATGTGGCATATTTCAACTAGTTAAAAGACATAAAAGATTAAATCCATAACGTCCTATTTCTGAAAGTTGAATTTAGAAATTACTTCTTAAGAATTTAGTTCTAAGCCTTTCTCTTGCCCTCAAAACGGTGTCCCTGTTGAATTGCCTTGTTTTCTTTTCTTTCTTTTCAGGGAACTAAACTCAGGGCCTTGCACTTGCCAGGCAAGCACACTTCACTGAGCTTAATTCCCAACCCCAAGTCCCGTTGAAAGGACTGTAATAAATACAAGCATTTACATGGCAATTTAACATCACTATCAAAAAATTTAAAGAGCTGGTGGAGTGGCTCAACAAGAGAGAACCTGCCTAGCAAGCATGAGGCCTTGAGTTCAAACCCCAGTACCAAAAAAGATAAAATAAAATATGTGTGTATTCTTTGATCAACCAATTTCATCTTGAGGAACCTACCCTGTGAAGTACTGGGTTGCAAATATTAAAACATCCATTCATTGCAGCATTGTTATAAAGGTGAAAAATCAGACATGCTAATTCCCATATGGGATATCACACAAAAGAATGAGCTAAACTTACGCATATTGATATGAAAACACCTCCAAGATACTCTGTTCAATGAAAAACAGCAAGTGTAAAACACCAGGTATAGAATAAACTTACTTACCATATAAAGTGTGTGTTTGTGCACACGTACATGTGTGTGCATGTCTGTGTGCATTCATGTGGTGTGAAAATGAACATACTGGAAATGAGATGAAAGCATCATCCCAAACAGACAACAGAAGCTACCGTCTGGGGAAGAAGAGTAGGTCCATGTGTGGGAGCAACTGGAGTAGACTCAAAGAGAATGGCAGTTTCAGGAAGGGACTTTCACTTTGTATTCCACATTCATCTGTATTAAACATTTATGTAATTTATATAAAACGTTTGTTCTTTATAGACAAGAAGACAAGATGCAATATCAAATTTTAGCTAAACTTCAGAATTACTTAAAGAGGATACTAAAATAGCACAAAAGGTAAAGACTGTTGGCAGTCAAAAAATATCCTTTATAGACTTTACCCTTCAAAAGAATAAAGAAAATTTGTGGGCAGCACCAAGGAGCGGTTATAAATGAACATGACAGTGCTGTTGTGAGAAGGAAAGAATCTGTATCTCAGATCTTGAAGAAATAGAGACACTGAAGTCACAATCATTATCAAAAGGATGCAATCATTCCAAATTTCCCTTACAAGCATAATTTCAACAATGAATCCTATTATTTTCATAGAAAATGTATACTGTGTGGGCACGCTTTTTGGATTTGAAAACCTGCAGGGCATAAAGAGGGAACTAGATGGTGTGAAGTGTTCGCTCTTACCTGCACGTTTTCTTCTGTAACCTGAAATTTCAGCAGTGTAAACATAATCAATTAGCAATCCTCAGCGTCCAGCCGTCCACCTCTTTGATTCGGACTCTCTTTGCTCGGCTCTCACTCATCTCACCTAAAACACAAAGGAGTAAAGTGACATTGTAGGAAAACGCTGCTGTAGAAATACAATTTAGGTCTACATCAGAACAGACTGAGCCATCCTCTTGCCACTCACCCTACTGGGTAGACATCATCAGCCACTTTTTACAGACCTAAAACATTCCCCCACCTCTTCCAAAAGCTTACCTGAGCAAACCATAAAATGCACTTTCATTACCCACTTGTACCTGAAGATCACATCAGAGCAGTAACGGTTCACATGTCCAGATGCATGAACTATAACACCTATACTGTAGCATCAGTAGCTATGTGTCTGAGCAGAGTTTTCTTTATGGATTTCTACTTATGCCTAGAAGAGTAATGATGTTATCACCTTTGGCTAATGGCGATGAGCACCTGCTGCGGAGGACTCACTTGGTTAGCATCATTCATTCAACAAGCACACAGATGCCTGCCAGAGGCCCGCAAGGCCTACTCCAAACTCAAAGGCTGGGCCCTCAGCAGGAGGTCACAACCCTCAAGCAGTAAACAATGAGAAAGCAAGTTGCCTAAGATGCTTAAGTTAGTCAATGGCAAAGGCTTATTGCAAATTGAGCCCAAGTTCAGCTCCTGCTTGTCGTCTGCAGTAACTTCATCCTGAAGTCATTTCCATAACAGTACTTATTAAAACCAGGCACCATTTTGCATTGTCGCTGGATAAGTGAGACAAGACCTCCTTCTAAGGAGAAAGAAGAAAGAGAAGCAAAAAACAGAATGGATGGTCCCTAAACTAAAGGGTCTTGGGGAGAACAGAAAGCAGGCTGAGTACCTATGTGCAGACAACATAAAATGACCTATATAAGGAGACACAGCTATTGCATGGTGGAGGTAAAACCTCAACTATAATTAAAAGAGCAAAGATAATGTTGTGTGCCACAGAACACCCTCTGA